CAATCACCAAATACAGTTGAGGTCAGTTGTTTTGAGTATGATAGAAGCACTCTTGCAGTCTTAAATAAAATCAAAGGGACAGTCAATAAAGACAGTTATTCAACTCTATCTTGCTTTCAAAGATGCAATACTCATAAGAGTCATTTATAGCAATGTTTAAGTATAATTAGGACTTAGAATATTCTGAAACCCAATAAACTCCAAAACCCAAATACTAAGTCTATCAAGCACTTAGGCTTGACTAGCTGCACTCTTGGCTGGCTAGCAGTCCTCAAAACTGAAGAACTTGTATTCTGATGCTGAAACCCTTATAGTTTGGAACCCAAATTAATCTGAAACCCAAAATACAGTTATTATTCCAATGCAATCCTCTCTAAATGACAAAGCAACTTAAATAAATCACTAAGTCGAAGCAGAACTCAAAATCCATTGTTCCAGAGACTAGCTACAGTAGGCTAGAAGGCCTGAATATGGGGGTGGGTCACTTGCTTGCTATTTCCCCCCCATTCCCTTCTTTTATACATCAACAACAGATATAGAATCTATAAATAAAGCATTTAAAATAATATTTCTCCTGTTTAAAGCAGAATCATGCCATTATTCCAGAATGGCAGCGCTCCTGGACTCCCCTAGGCTTGCCCAGACCCACCTGGCCACTGCACAGCTTTATTTTAAGCCTACAGTGCCTGTGGGTACCTAACTCCTTTCTGTCTACTCAAAGTTTTAATCCTCTGAGTTATTCTTAGTAGCTTGATTGATCAGGCCCAGTCAGACTCAGTCAACTGATCCTATCCACTCTATTCCTCTCAATTCTAAGTCCCTTAGGTCACCTGATACCTAGGAAATTTTGACTTAGACATTTCAGTCAAAACTCACAGTGCTAGCCACAGATCATTGGATCTCACTTCTTACTGCTCCTAGATGATGCTATCTCTACTCAATACTCCACAACTGGCTATGGTATTATACCTCTAGCTGTCTTAGAATATACTTGTCTTAGTGGCATGTAGAATTGGCCCTATTTGAGATACCATTTCTAAGTCCAACTTAGACTTAGTATTTTCCAAGATGTGGTGCCAAACTTTTCTAAGTTCAAATCTGACTTAGAATTTTTATCCTTAGGCCATGTTATTTTACAAAGTCCCTTTTGGACTTAGTATTGGTGACTAGCATGACTATCAGCTCAGAGCCTCAGCTATAGCCCTCTACTGGCTAATGATTCTCAGTTACTAGCATATTCTAGTGTGTTATGCAGAATTTGCAAATTATAGGGCTGGACATGTAGCCTGCATATTATCAAAATACTTACATCCTGCTCCACTCATGGGGTAACCACTCTGATCAACAGTGGTTGCATAGGAAGTTCAATCAATCATGCCTTTGTCAGACAACAACAACTTTCCATCAGGACCACTGCCACTCTAATCCCCATTTATAATGCAGATGGAATGAAGAATCAAGCTGGATCAATCACTGAATTCATTGAGCTCAGGGTCACAATCGGCAATCATTCTGAAAGGATCAATTTAGCTGTCACTGACCTAGAGACTAAAGAGGTGTTTCTGAGACATGACTGGCTGATCAGGCACAATCTCCTGATCAACTGGAAGACTGGGAAAATAACCTTCACCTAATGCAAGTGCTGCAAACTCCCCTTTGAATTACCAGATGAGGACTCTGAGAACCAATGAGACAAGGAGATGGAGGATGGGGAAACCATCCTCACCATTGACCTCCAGTATGAAATGCATATCTGTGCAATATCTCAGCAGGCTGCATTTGATGATCTTAAATGACAACTTGCAGAGGATATGGTCCTAGCAATCCCAATATAGAAGAAGAAATTTAGGATGGAAGCAGACTCAAGTGAGGGAACAATCAGTGTAGTACTCTCTTAGGAGCAGGATGAAAAATAGCATCTGGTGGCCTTTCTCTCCAAAGCATTAACAATCACAGAATGCAACTATGAGATCTATGATAAGGAACTTTTAGCCATCATGCCAGCTCTTGTGAAATAGTGTCACTATCTAATTACAGCTATCAGTATCTTTGAGATCTGGACTGATCATCAAAACTTCTAATACTTCTGACTTCCCCAGAAACTCAATCAATAACAAGCCTGTTGGGTTATAGAACTCTCTGAATACAACTAACCTTACACTACAAAGCCAGAGTAGCAAACAAGAAGGTCAATCTCTTAAGCTGATGAGCAGATCATAATCAAAGCAAAAGAGACAATGATGAGATGATATTACTAAAACTAGAGCATTTCTGAGCCATGATGATGCCTATAAAAGAGAAGATCCATAAGCAGATCAAAAGCATGATGCAGAACACTAGCTAATGGGATCAATGAGTGGCCTCATCACTCAACTATAAACAAGAGATGACAAAAGAAGACAGGTTAATCTATTATAATAGGAGGATATATATCCCCCATAATCATTAGCTTCACAGAGAAATTATAGCCACCTGTCATAATCATGTGACAGTAGGACACTCAGAAATTGTGAAGACTAAGGAATTAATCCTACATAAATACTGATGGCCAAAAATGGAGTAGAATATTAAGAAGTACATAAAGGGATATGAAACATGCTAATGAGTCAAAGTCTTAATACAGCCACATGCAGCACCATTACACCCAGATGAGATCCCACAAATGCTTTAGACACACATATCTGTCAACATGATCACTGGACTCTCTGATTGTAATAGCTATGATGCTATTATTTGTTGGGATTTTGCTGGAAAGTTCTAGAAAGAGCAATCCAGCATCATGCCAAGAGTTGATAAGCTCAAGCTCAAGAGAAAGTTGTAGTAAATTCTAGATACAAGCCTGAAGAGTATAAATACAAGCTCTGTAAGAGCTGTGGAATAATAAGTTTATACCATCTGGCCTTACCAGCCTGGAGTCTATCTTGTACAACATTAAAGATTTTCAACATTATTATTATCATCAATCAATTTTTGAAAGCTATCATTCTGGTCACATGCTCAACAGAGTTGTTATCTGAGAGATGAGCAAAGATCCTTCACAATGAAGTCTATGCAAAATATAGCATGCTACAGATCATCATCTTCAACTGAGATCCACAATTCATCTCTAAATTCCTCAATAATCTATATCATCTTCTCAACATTTGCAGCAATGCCTCCACAGCCTACCATCCTCAAACCAATGGACAAACAGAGCATATAAACTAAGAAATAGAGAAATATCTCCAGATCTTCATTAACTATCAATAGAATGATTGGGTTGAATAGCTTGCACTAGCTGTATTTTAATATAACAACTGTGTCCACTCTGCCATGGGAAGAATGCTGTTCTTCATTAATTATAGTCACCACCCAAATGTGACACAGATAGAACACTCTTGTACTATAACTCCCATATCCTTCAACTTTGTCACAATAATGACCAAAATCCATAATGAGGTCCACCTCACTCTTAAGAAAACTATCACCTCTATGAAAATACAATACAATAAACACTATCATCCTGCTCACCAATACTCCATGCACAACAAGATTTGGCTTGATACAACTAATCTCTATCTACCATACTCTAAATGGAAGCTGTCTGACAAACATACCAGCCTCTTTCCAATTGTCACCAAAGTAGGCTCATCAGCTTATAAACTCTATCTTCTGACTATCTGATGCATTCATGATATTTTTAATAAAAACCTTTTTACCTCTTATATCATCCTCTTCTTCCCAAACTAAGAATAACTGTCACCTTCTGAGCTCAAATTAATCAATGATGAAGAACACTATGAGGTCAATTAGATCCTCAATCATCAACTCTAAAAGATTGATGCTTATAGTGGAAGGTTCAGAACAATAGTTGATTATCTGATCAATTGGAAGGGCTATAGTTCTGAATCTAACCAATGAGTAAATAAGCAATATATGAATGCTGTAAATGCTATACATGACTATAAACTCTCCCTAAACTGATCCATCAGGATGATAATCTTAAAGGGAGGTAATGTTATGATTTTTCCTATTTTCTTTCTTGATTAACCCCTATTTATGCTTAGTCAGAACATCTAGACCAGTGCTTAGAACCATGGAACATGCTTAGTCACTATAATTGGCAGAGTCAGCCATTGTTCTGCAACAATGATGACACCTCTTGACAACAGACAATACTCTTTTATAGGTAGTAATAATGCTTTAAGGACAACAAGTAGTGTAGCACAGAAATGTGAAATTAGTAGGTATATATTTAGCCAGGACATAGACAGTATATAAGTAGTGTAGCTCTTGCTGTATAACCTCAGCTTCAAGCTAAAGTTTATTCTATACCATTCTATCTTGAGCCAACTGTCTTTGGCCTTGAGACACAATACCTATCAGACACATATAGTGAACTCAGATGTAACTGTATGAACTTGATACAGTGTCTGTTTATTACATGCTATTGGTCACATGTCACTTAGGCATAACAGATAGTCTATCTAGCCAGATATTCCTGGCACAGCTACCAAGCTCTGATAAGCTTAGATATGAACCATGCCTCATTTCCAATATGCATATTGACCACATCCTGTCAAACATCCCAGAAATAGCTGATCCATCACAGCTATGTGGACCTCTGGATTATTTTCAACAGTGAGCAATCCTCTCCAATTTGTTGCTTTTTTGTTCAGAATTGTGCAGGAGTATCAACTTGTCTACTATGGATCAATCCTTTTCAACCTGCCAGAGGATCTGTCAATTGACAAAATTCCTGTTCATGATGACATTTCATCAGTTCATACAGTACACACTGTAATGTTGGTGGAATCTCACACAAGCTTGACAAAAGATTTAAGCTCTGATTCTCTGGACTCCCACAGATGTCAGACTGGACTCATTGTTATAGAAGTCTCTCCAGGTGATAGTACCTACTCAGAAAGGTAAATATCTATGTGTCCCGACTATAGCCTCCATTGAATTTTGTTTCTAGGAAAATGGAGAGTCAAGTCGCTCCTTCGGAGGGCAATCGCGAAATTCAAGTGGGGCAAGGGTTCTCACAAGCTGTGATTTGGTCTGCAGATTCGCTGGATCCTCGGACTACGCTTCTCTTTTCTTCCGCTGTTTTGCTTGTCTCCTGCTTACAAAGATCCCGGATGATCCACAAGAGTGCGGATGGATATGGGGATGGGGATGAAACAATTGAAGCAATCCATTCTGTAAGCAAAGTAAGACAAAATGACTGGCGAGTGTTGTATGATACAATATGACAGGATAGAGCGACAAAGGATGAAGAGGTTGGCACAGAACGCCTTTACTTCCTCCCTGCTTCTATCGCCTCTCCGTTCTTGCAGGCGATAATTTTTATTCTCGGAGCCTTGACATAGTCATTGTTGTCCATTTTGAATGATGGGTCCTTCACGATGAATGTCCATACATCGTCACAGAGACGGTAGGTATGCAGGTGACCCTATCACGGCTTGGTTGTATCAAATTCGCAGTCGAGTGGCAGAACCGCACGCACCTTCAACGTAGTCTTGACCCTAACCTGCTTCACCATCGTATCTGCAAGGGACTTGTCGAACTGGAAAAGCTAGGTGAGCGCCGAGTCTTTTTTTAAAAGAAGAGAAAAGAGTCGCCCAACTTGCTGCAACACCTTCATGGCCAGCTGAGGGGTAATTGCTCCGCTTGTAATTAGCTCGTCCAGCGAATCTGTGAGTGCCATCCCGATGCTTCAAGTCTCGGTGAGTTCATGTCGCGGTTACCCACAGGCAGAGAGCAAAAGCGAACATACGAAGAGCCCCGGTAGAACTCGTAGTAAGCAGTCGCCATTTTTGTAAAGAAGAAAGAAAGACGCGGACGATGCCGATGCCGATGAATCAGGATCCGTGGGAAGAAGGCCAGTCTGCGGTCGAGTCCCAGTAAGAGTATCCTTGGATAGGATTCGGCTGGGAATTGTGGCTTCCACTCATGATTGACGCGGATGATGTCGTTAACTCACCATAGCTCTTAGGTCGGTAGGTTCTGTTTAAGCCCTCAGAACGCACTGAAACCCTACTACGAAGATCTCTTAGAACAATGAAAAGGAGAGCCGAGATATGGCTTCAGCACGGATTTTGAGCAAATTCCTGGCCAATCCATTCAAGCTACGAACAAGGTTCTAAACCCCAAAATCACGATTGCAATCATCTGTTGAACAGCCTTTATCTCATAGAGAATTCGTGCAAACCAAATGAATGTCGTAAATAAGTATAACAGAGGCATGTAAAGCATAAGGTTTAAGTACAAAACATTATTTAAGAACGGGGGGGAAGGGGCCAAAGCACTACTGCATCTCTGTATTTTCGAAAGAATTGCGAAGATCATTATAAACCGGTGGAAGAAACCAAACAGACCTGAGGTATATTAATCCCTGCCAAGATCAGCAAGTACTCGAACAGCCGCTGTTCTCTTGGACACGTCACTGAACCACTCCTTGGCCCTTGAAGCTTTCTTTTCCATCTCCTCAGCAACCTTGACTTCCCTTATTCTCTCCTCCATAGCCCCCGTGAATCTTCCTCGGAGATCCCAAGATGCCAGTCTCAAAACCTTCCTGGCCTCCCTACTAATCCTGCCTGCTTGAACCTCAATGAACGTATCCTCTTCCTCCCCATCGGCCCGCGTCACAGAGTCCTTCACTCGCCTGCCAACAGTCTTGGGAATGGAGTTTGGTAACTCCAAGACAACGTACGCGGTGAGACCGATGGTAACTGCACCAAGGATAGGCGCGGCCCACTTTCTGGCGGTCTCATTTCCAAAGATATCAGTCACTCGAATGATTCCTTCTATCAATCCGCGTGCACCAATGGCTTGACCACCGACCATCGTAAGGGCGCCCACACCAACGCTCAGAAGCCCCAAAGCAGTTGGTGCAGCCGAGTCGTCTTCGGCCTTTCCGTCTCCGAAATGCAGCCAGAATTGATGATGAACGTCGAAAAGATCCGAGAAAGAGGTCTCAAGCATCTCTGGGCGTTGAGCAAGACTAATTCCCAAACCATTAACGCCACCTGCAACGACGGCACCTCCGGCGCGCCGATGTTTAGCACCTTTGCCAGCTCGTCGAACAGTGCTAAACATGGCCTCGGGCATGAACACTCTCTTGTTTCGTTCAACACCCACTGGCAAATGCTCTTCAGCAAGGTCTTTGATCTTGTCAACGGATTGGCTCGTGATGACTCTGACCTCATCCTCAGCCAGTCTGACTGCTGCGTCGATGCTGGCAAGCAAGGCAGTCCTGACGTCGCGGGCGTAACTCCAAATACCCAAGAGACCGGGGTATGATGGCATGGAAACAGTGCCATTTTCCGCGCCGAGACGTCCCTGTCCTACGCGCTCCAAGGCATCACCCAACACAGACTTGGTCTTGCTCGAAGAATAAGTGGCGCCTTGTTCCTCGACGGCTTCCAAACTCTCCTCCAGCGCATCTCTGCTGCTCTGCATCTTCTCCAAAACAGGCTTAGCTTGCTCCAAGTCCTCCCTTGACCGCTGTAGCTCTGAATCCGCAACAAGAGCATTCGCGCCAGCGAGAAGATCAATGTCAGAGAGGAGATGGACGAGATAAGTCGATGCGGGATTAAGTTTAGATTTCGAGCGTTTGACGAGAACAAATGACCTCAAAGATGACTCAAGGTCGTCGAAGGATGGGCTGGCTGTAAAAGGTTGCAGAGCGGCGGCAGAGTCAACAAAGTGAACAAGATCCTCAGCATCCTCATAGGTGCGAGGGCTGAGCTGTTTGATCTGATCAAGAACCATCCGACGACACTTTTCCTTGTTCTTAATCTGGTCGTACTTGTTAACAACGATGAACAGGTAGGCCTTCTCGTTGCTGGCGTTCCATAAGAATTCCTTCGCTGACAGGGTGAAATGATTCTCGGCGGAGACAACGAAAACGACCACATCAATTTCCTCCTGGCGAGCGAATAAGGCAGTAGTCTTCAGACTATCGCGATTGAGACCGGGGGCATCAATGAGGGAGATGTCAACGACACCGTTGTTAAGTAATGACTCGGAAGGAGCCCGTGTGTCAGCAAGATATAGCTTAAGCACCTTTTCGGAGCCCTCGTTCTCACTGACGATATCCTCGAGGTCGGATATTCGGGCACGAGTAAAGGTCGATTCGTCTTGAATGTTGTAGGTTACGCCGTCAATGAGAACATGGACTTCCTCCACGCCCCCGTTTTCGGCTGCATCATGTACCTCGCAGAACGCGGTAGTACAGGGCTGCTGATCAACGGGCATGATCTCACGGCGGAGAAGAGCGTTCACAAAAGTTGATTTTCCAGCATTGAGATCACCGGTAACGAGAACCTTTGATGAAGTGTCCTCAATACGGAGACGGAGCTTGTCGATATGGTTGAGGGAAGAGATGATGCGATCGTCGAGCAGATTGGCAATGGACGCCTTTTCAAGCTGGGAGACGAGAGAAGCAGCCGAAGTAGAGGAACCGTGGGCACCGAGCTTGAGATCGAGTCGCAAGACTTGGAACTCAGACTGGGGCAAAATGCGTTCTGGTCCGTCCCGCTTCTCTTCTGCATGCATACCCTCTTCACCTGCAGGCTCGGCTGCGTCTGCAATAGACGCAAGAGTAATTGACCGTGTCATACCCTGCCGGGCACCGGAAAGAACGACGTCGGTCTCGGTTGTGGGATCATCTGCGAAGGACAGCGAATGGCGAAGGGATCGTCCGGGGTTGGCAGAAGGGGCCGTATCAACCTGCCCGCGTAACTGAGGGTAGCGAACGACCCATTCGTCCTTGTTGAAGATACGGATATCAGCGAGAATGGATTTGGTTGCGTCAATCGCCTTGACGAGACTACAACCCGGGTCAGTCAGGACAGCGACAAAGACAGAATAGAGGTACTCACCGGCCCTTGTGCTCAATATATGCTTCCTGGACGTCCTCCACCCTTGAATGCTTCTCGCCAGAAAACCTGCTAAATGATGCTGCTCCTTGCACAGGCGAAGATACCCGGGGGAAATACGACTGGGCCATCACGATATAAGCACGAAATTTGGTCAAAAATCGATTGTGGAATGCTGGATTTCCAGCTCGCTGCTATTGGTGACTACGATGTTGCCGCAAAGTTTCGACGGTGAATGAGCAGACAAATTTGATGGTGCCGGTTGGATGCGAAAGGACGAGACATATCTTCCGCTGACTCATGTAGCGTGAGAAATTCCGGGCCGAAGAAAATTGTCACAATGACAACCCATCACACTTGCCTTCACTTATTTTCTGTCGATCATGCTCCGCACAGTGTAAAAGTCTTCACAAATCTCGGGAGAGGGATATTGCTGACCTATACACAGAAAACCCAAAAATGCACGATCCAAACGTGTCTTGGATGCCCGTATGCCCAAGGAAGTGGAAGATGTACGGACAGCAATATTTGTAAAGGGAACGCATACTGGCGAGGTGCTTAATGGTGTAATGAAGGACCTGGTGCGTCAAGGAACTTTGCTGCTCTTCTTCTATTCTAATATATCCTAGATGGCTCTCAAACGACCGGCAGCAGTCTCTTTCTCTAAGAAGAACGACATCCATCCTTTCGACAGCGCCTCATCTTCAACCTCAACGTCATCTCTTGAGTTTTGGGCAAACAAAAACGATGCTTCCCTGTTCTTGGTTGGCCAGAGCAACAAGAAAAGGCCGAACGGTTTGATCTTTGTACGCATGTACGATGGTCGAGTACTGGATATGCTCGAGGTTGGAGTGGAGGAATTCACAGGAATGGCGGATTTTAAGGTATGTCGGCCTGCCCATCTGGAATTTACTGTTCTGACCATTGTTAAGACTCCAAAATCAACGCCGGGGCATAAGCCATTAATGCATTTTGCCTCTGAGCTTTTTGATACTCATCCACGCTTTATGCAACTCAAGTCTATGTTAATGTCGTTCTTCAATGGGGAAGAGGTCGACGAAATATGTCTTCCAGGTATCGAGCACGTCATCAGCATCTCTCTTGCGCCAACACCTCCTTCTCTTAATACCACATCGGATACTCCTACTTCCTTACCAAAAGTCCATTTACGGACCTACACCATCAGACTACTTTCATCAGGTACACGGATACCGCGGGTAGAGCTCACGCCGATGGGCCCGTCATTGGACATGGTTCTGCGGAGGCACGAAGCGGCGGACGCAGAGATGTTGAAGCAGGCTTTGAGGAGGCCGAAGTTGAAAAAGAAGGAAGTCGAACAGGGACTGGGCAAGAAGCGCAAGAACATGGAGGTCGATGAAATGGGCGACTTGCGTGGACGGGTCCATGTTGGCACCCAGGACTTGAGCAAGCTGCAGACGCGGAAGATGAAAGGACTGAAGGACGATGAGGAGCGGCCTGGTAAGCGGAGTAAAACGTCGTCGTGATGTATTTCCTTCTAGATAGCTGGATCTGAGTTGTTATAATGGAAACATCTGTGCAGCTGATCTGTCACTTTCTAGGAAGTTCCAAATGCTCTGGCCCAAAGCTATCGGGCAGCAACTCGCCAAGACTCGTCTCTCGCACGCCGCCTTCAGTCATACCAGACTTTCCTTGGTCCCTCTTGTCGTCTGGTGATTTTGGATAATCTCCAGGTACGAGGAGCACAGGCATGTCGAGGGCGCAGAATTCACGAATGACCTGACGACACGCACCGCAAGGCGAGATTGTAGCCGGTACGTTGCTAAAGCAGACTCAGAATATGGATGAGAGTCATGTAAAGACAAGTTACGTCGTGACGGCGAGCCCAACGAATGATTTAATGCCTTCACTCTGTTGAGCATTCAGCAAGTGATTATATGCGAAAGAGGAGATTGACGAACGACCGCTTTGACAAAGGCCGTTCGCTCAGCACAGATAGTTCCGCCTGTAGCATAGATTAGACCCGACGGCGACGATGACAATATAGCAGACGCACCATAGGATGCATTCTCGATATTAGCTCCCTTGATGATGGAGCCGTCTGCAGCCATTAGAGCAGCGCCGACAGGAAACTTTGAGTAAGGGCTGTAAGAATGCTCCTTTGCTGGAATAGAGATAAGAAATATATTCAACAGAAAGCTGAGAGCATGGTACCCTCGAAGGCAGCCTTGATGAGTGCTTGACGGTCGTCGACGGACAGTGGCCAAACTCGTGTACTCATCGTGGAAGATAGCAAGGTTTGTCCTTTACCGCGATCTTGCCCATTACTACTATGTCTCTCCCTCGTGCCAACTACGACCCCCGTCGTGTCTGCCTCAATCCTTTCCCAGAATTTACCTTAGGAAAGCACCGTCGTACAGTAGGCGTATACATTGCAGGAGCACTGGTAGGTATGCATCATTCGCTGCGCTTGTCTAGTCACAACGCCACCACAGTTTGCTCTTGCCCAATGGACATTCTTTGATGCAGCCATCCTCTCTGCCCATGCAAAGCCGGAATGGGGCGGAGACCCTCCAGTGCATGTAAAATTCCTGGACTGGCTACCAGGTCTCTCGTCGTTGCTGGGCTTCCTCATTGTCAACGTCATCGACAAAGACCGTATCAAGGGCGATGAGGGATTTGGAGACTCGGGAGCTGTTTGGCGAGCTCGTTTGTTCTTGTTCATCGGGTTTGCGTTCATGGCTGGTGGTTTGGCAGGCAGTGTGGTGAGTGCTCAGTTCGTTCCTTGTTGTCGTCCGACTCAAGCTTAGTAGTGTGTCCTGATTCTTAAATATATTCTCGGTGATTACCCTCAGCAGTTCTCTTACTATGGATACGCAAACGTATCCCAGAATATTGCAATGATGCTTGCAGGTGTCGTGTTGTGGATTGCTCAGAGCTCGAGTGGAGAATACGAATACAATTTGACGTTATGAGTAGTCTACTTGAAGCTGTGCGTACAATCTATTTATAACAACCAGCTTGGAGGCTGTTGCAGCGAGCTGCAAGCATGTTATATTATACCTCGGCGCTCGGTATTGACGGCGTCTCCCATAAAGTCAATTTCTATTCGAGCGACGTGAAGGCGAGATGGCACGTATGACTGGTTTTGAGACATTTAGAATCCGAGCGGGAGGGGGACGTGAGGTGCGCTGGCACTACATTTTTCTTTCGATGTCCCCCAGTCCTCCCCTTCTTAATTTGAAGTCTCCAGTTTATCCAGCCACCTGTTCTCTCTCGGTATCATACATCCGAAAAGTGCTTATCATGTGTAATAAAGATCTAATAGTAAGTAAGGTGGTATAATCTCCTGGTCTCTCCATTTTACAAAGCCAGACAGGCCTCTATTCATGACTGCAAAGCTATCATCGCCAGCGCAGCAACAAGTAAAGGAATCCCGAGTCCAACTACTTGGGCTCTCTGTCGCGCCTTGGCATCATCGGGTGACCACCATCGGATTTCTGACCACAGCAGTGGACCAAAGACAACACATGCTGTCCAAAACTGCGAGACGTTGTTAAAAATACTGTGCAAACAAATTCAAAATTCTACATACCACCCGGAGGCTTTTGAAAAATAACATCGGGTACTCGTCAAATTGCGGGGCAATAGATTTCAGTTTTTGGTCTGCTTGGCCCTGGATAGGACGTGGATGTGTGAACATGACCCGAATCGAGTAGAAGGCGACCGAGAAGAAGTGATTAAACAGTAATACGGGTGAAGGGCAGATGCTGATGGCAAGTCAGTGATAGCAGGCCGCTTGAGTAAATGATAGTTTACGCGGATAAGAGGGAGACGGGGCCCCTTAGGCATTCACCGCCTCGTTCAAAGTACTTGAAGCAACCCGTACGAAGAACTGCAAGTTCTTCATCTAAAAAGTGGTCAGCATGGTACCGAATACGAGAACATAAAAGCATACCATCAGCACCGAAAAGGTCATATAATGCTACGCTCAAGATGTTGACAGTTGACGAGACCAGTTTTCGCTGCCAATGCCACTTGCGCAGTACTGCGCGTACAGCTCTCCAATCATCCAGCTTGCTGACACGCGTTAGCAAATTCCGAAGAATGACAACGTCGTTGAACGCTACTGTCATTCCACCGCCAGTCAGAGGATGGCGCATGTTCCACGCATCACCCACGAGAAATACGCCCTCCTTTGCCACAGGCATAGAAGTGCCTTGTAGAACTGAAGGCAAGAAAGAATTGGGCATACGACGAAGACGGTTCTTCTTGAGCGCGTCACGAACAGAATTATGAACAGATGAGGGGAGTTGGGGAAGGATGTTTTTGGTTATATGGGACTATTAATGACTTGACTGAGAATAAATCCCAAGGAAAGGATATAAAAACGCACCTCAAGGTCGGCGGGTATGGGGGCCTTGACGTCGACAAGCAGTCGAGTATCGCGATCACCAATGCGGTAAAGTAGCACCGGACCGTAACCCTTCACGAGCACAACGGTACCATGGTTGGGTATCGGCAACACAGCATCCTCGAGCACGAGACCAACGAAATGGCTCTTCGTTACAGGCTTACAGAGTCGGTCGCCCATCACAGCTCCTCTAAAGTTGGAGAAGCAACCATCGGCAATGACGACGAGGTCAGCAAAAAAGGACTCCTTGTCAGCTTCGCCTCCCGTAGTCAGCCCATCCTTCCTCGTTGCCCGTACGCCGATAACTTGCTTGTTAAAGTTGGCCTCAATCAGGTCTGTGACCGTCGCCTCTATGACCTCGACACCCTCCGCCTTCTTCGCAGCCTCCCGAAGTTTCATGATAAACTTGCCATGGTGGAAAGAACGTCCCTCGTGGCCGTCGGGGTATGGGATATGGACGGTCTTGCCATTGTCGACGACACAGTAACCCTTCACCGGAACGGCATCGATACCATCAAAGCAGGCCTCCAAACCGAGGTTTTTTATGCAGCCGACACCTCCAGGTTGCAGCAGTTCACCGACAATCCGGTCGGGTTCTGCAAGGGAGCGTTCGAGTAAGGCAATACGAAAAGGTTTTTCGCGTCGAATGGTGGATAAGGCATGGGCAAGCGTGCAGCCAACGACGCCGGCGCCGACGATGATAATGTCATAGTGAGTTTTCCACATGACAGTATTGGATGAAGGTCGTCGTTGGTGAATATCACCAGTTCATGATAAGTACTTGAACAAGTGGGCCCACTCAAATAAAATCAAAGGGGCTCGCGGCAATTCCCGCGGCCACAGACTCGACGGTATCCGGACACATCCAGGCCTTTTTCTGGATTATGTGCCCACTTTTTAGTGTGGGGAATCACTGTCACCATTGGCACAGATATGAGATGTCGTTAATCACACAAAAGGTATTGCATCTCAAGATTTTATTTAGAAAAATATACGCCAACACAAAACGCTTCAAACAACCACCTAGAGGGAAGAGATGAACGGCATGGATAACGAGTGATACTTTTTTACTTACTGGCCAGCCCGTAGAAAAGTTGAGGAGGTTGATGCCGAGCTAAAAGAAAGGTTACTATTTCCGTACTGGAGCGCTGAGATGAAGGACCTCACGTAGCTGCCCGATGAGGTGTAATAATCTAAAAGAACGGCATGAATACCGGAATCGAACAAGGAATATACAGTTAACTCACGATAAACAAGGATAGGACCGTCGCTATCTTCGAAAACGTCCTGACCTCCGGGTCCGTAGATCTGTGAATAGATAAGGTAAGCTGCATTCACGACGTCGATGTTTTCGTATACCTCGTCGTGACTCTCCAAGACAAGAGTTCCTCCACCCTTAAGAAGAGAGACACTATCTTCGTCATAATATGTACCAGAAATGCTATGACACCATTGGCATTCGGAGTCTTCATGTGAGAAATGAACCGTTACCTTGTTGACCTTCCAACACGGATGTTATAGGTGCTGGACGTTCCCTCACAGCAGATATCCCAGGACGTAAAAAGATAATAGTAACTTCCGTATTTGTAGATGCTGCTGGCTTCAACGGCACCGTCGTCATCCGTACGTTCAGCCAACGACGTAACAGAGGAACTGGCCGAAAGTCCCGTGGACGGACTGAGTCTGCATGCAATGAGCTAGGATGCAAAAAAATGATTGTTCAAAGACTCACTTGATCAACTTGATACCCGTCCAGAAGCTTCCTAGACTGAGGTACCAGGTACTTCCAGCTAGAATAGATTTAGGATGTATTTCATGTAGAATTAACTGAGAGACGAACAAATAAACAGACTGTAAAGAGAACAGATGAGATTATGACAGCATCTCCGGCAGCAAGGAAACGTACTTGGGGTCAATAGCCTGGAGCATGCTTCGTTAGAAAGTCTCTTATGGAGGGCAGCAACTTGAACTTACATTATAAGTGTCACCAGACGAGGTGGACGTTACGAGACCCTTGTTGGTCCAAGTTCCTAGAAGAGTACATAACCGCAAGGGAAAAGGTATTCGCTGAAAACAACGAACCAGGAGCACCAGTTGTAGAAGTTGCCAGGAAGATAGCCGACTTGACAATGAATTTAACGAAAGAAAATAAAAGTACGGAGTCTCGGACATACATCCTGGGATCCGAAGCTGGATGCGGCGTAATAAAGCTAGAAACAATCAAGGCTGCGTTCGCACTTCTTACCGAAATTCCTTACCCAGAACTTGCTACCGTCATAGTAGCAGTCGGGCGCCCACAGACTTCTAGAATCAACAAATACTGAGTGACAGAAAATGGAGAAGTCTGGTACGAATGCATCTACCCGTTTGAAGTACCCGTGTAATCGTCGGTCCAGCTCGCACCGTCGGGCCACACCAATCCCTGGTAAGTCCACGCAGTCCTGTCCGTGGACGTAGTGATTGAGATACCAGCAGCAGTGGCTGCGGTGGTCGTGAAGGATTTTTAGCACATGAGAGTGTTTAAACTTACCGAATAAGAAGTATTTCCCGTCGCCGTCCTTACAGATAGTAGGATCGTGTGTCTCAGTATAACCAGTGACAGTTCCAGGGCCAACATAGGCACGACCAATACCGGCACATGTCAGCAAGACACAGAGGATTTGAAAGAAAGATAAGGTAAAACGGGAAGTCATTGAGGATAGAACTGTCTGTTCGATGCTATTGAGCCAAGAGTCTGCTGTCTTTTATAGAATCCAGGCTGAGCATCGCTGGCAGAAATTGAGGAGAAATACAGGAGAAACTGGAAGAAAGTATCGAGTTGTCGATATGGTGACCCGGCGTCGGGTCCAATCAAGTTCCAATAGAGCTTTCTCGTCGCGTGCTGGTACGAGGACCGCGTCCACGAGCCGAATTAACTATACCTTCACATACGGAAACGGGCCCAAGCGGGCCGGATACATTATATCCGATCCGAGAATCTGCCTTAGCGCGCTCCGGCTTGCACATAGGCCCCCGTCCTTTGGAAGTAGATTTCTTCCAGCCTCAATTTTCTTTAAGACATCTTTCGTTCTGCAGGTCTCTTATCTCAATCCTTATCTCGAATTAAATCACGCCAATAGCATCATACAGAATCATCGCTTTTTTTATTCGTGAAGGTGGAGATATCGCATCTTCGCAAGTTGCGATCCGATTCTATCCCCCTTCATACGACATCCGCGTGGAGAGCGTGCCTATGCCACAGTGAGAAAAACATTTAGATGAGTTTAGATTGTGATTCTTAGTGTTGCACTTTTAGAATTACCCACTCGGACGATGCCATCGTAAGAATACACGTAAGTTGGAAAACTCTACCGGCCTATCTTCCAGAAGTTCATGGTAATGTATCCATGCTAGCTATCCGGCTTGTGTGGTACGAATGGTCCTGCCTGATGCATTTTCTGCCGATGACAGTTGTTTTAAGGTAGCAGTCTTCATGTGTACAGAGGACACGAAGCCGTTGATAAAATGCGAGTCTATTTTTCCGGTGCATAGTCCGCTGGCCTGACGTTCACGCGCTTCTTAGTCATACCTGCGGTCATGAGTTTATCGGACAAGTTGTCAAATTGGGATCGAGCTTCAGTGTACATACTCTCAGACTTCCATCACTGTATGCAAAGCTAAAGACTGGGGATAAAGTTGTTTGCCCCTTCCCTACCAGTTGCGGAGTATGCCAGTAAGTCCGATGTGCACGCAATACCACAATTCGGGATCCTGTTATGAAATCTTCACAGAGTATGTCGATCAGGATTTACGTGTCGGTGCATCCAGAGCAAACTGTTCGGTTCTCCCGCCTTGGAAGGTGTGCAAGCGCAGTACATTAGGGTACCGAGCGCGAGCGGGACGCTATTCAACCTCAGTGACCCGGATGCATGGCCTTTGTCGAAGCTCAAACAAGTTTCTGATAGTTCATTGCTTCTTCTCGCCGATATCCTCCCCACTGGAATTTTCGCCGCCATTCAAGCATTGAGCCACTCCAAAGTGCTACCCGTACCGGCGGCGGAGCCTTGGCCACCGCACGGCAAAGCGTCTAGTAATATACCAGACGTTTTCCCGAAAGAGAATATTCCAACATTTGCCATTATAGGGCTTGGTCCTGTCGGATTCTGCGCAACCATAAGTTTGCTTGACTAACTAGGAAAACGACAGTTACTTTCAGGATTTAAAATCATAGCCGTTGATCCTATTGAATCTAGGAGGAACAAGATGCGTTCTATCTATTTTGAAATATCTGACTTAGGAGTTAGTCAAGAGATCTTCGTGGTTCAGTCTATCGAGGAAGTAAAAGAAACAGTACATACCTGGACTTCTGATGTGGGGTGTTCTGCCGTATTAGAGGTCGGTCTATCATCATCTGCGTTTACATATGAACCAACTCTTCCCGCTTTCGATCAAGTCGTCGGCAACAACAGCGCTCTCACACTGGCCTACGAGCTTGTGCAGCCATTTGGATCTATGTCCTCTGTTGATGCGCATGGAGTACATCCATTCCCATTGACCGGAGGACAACTTTATGACAAGAATGTATCGTTTGATTTTGGGCGTTGTCCCGTTCGTTCATTGTTTCCTATGGCATTCGAACTTTTAAGTACGTACTTTATTTCGTCCGTTGGTTGTCAATTCATAGTTGATGTCGCTCCACTCTGACAAGTTAAGCGTCAAGACGTATTGGGGGATAGGTGACGAAAGCAGTTTGATTGACAGAATCGTTGGTTTTGACAAGGCAGTGGAGATGTATGCCACGTTTGATAAGGGTGAGGTTGGCAAGATCGTGTTTAACCCTTGGAAGGAAACATAAATTGAGGGAATAGAACGAACTAAAGAACGGCGAGAAGTATACAGAAAATGAAATGATATCCAGAGGCGGAGGGAAGGAAGCCAAATTCAAGCAACCACCTGTACAGAATGAATGAACTTTCCACACATGATGGATTGGAGACACCTTACCGGCCAGCCGCTGGAAAAATCCAATAGGTTGATGCCCAGCTAATAGAGGAATGCATTGGTGAGAATTTAGAAGAGAAGAGAGGGTCATACGCACGAAGCTTCCCGATGATGTATAATAATCTTGGTGAATAATCAATCAAAAAGTCGAAGAGAAGTCAGCTCAACCCAGAGTATACAAGAGTGAAGCCATCAACATCGTCCATCAAGTCTTGTCCTCCAGGACCCACAATCTAATAGTCGACAGCAAGTTGTCCGCAACGCTCTCATTTTATAAGAGTACATACGCTAACATGGATGCCCAGAACCAGTGTTCCTTCGCCAAATGTCAAGACTATACCCGCTTGGTCAACAAAGCCAGATGCCACGCTAGATGTTGGGCTGTGGTAGAATGTCAGCAAAATGCAGGCTCATTGAGTCTGGACCTACGATATAGATCTTCCGATGCGAATATTATAAGTCGATGGCCAACGAGGTGAACAAATAATAGAGGCTTTCATGATTGTATGTGACACTGGCCTCAATAGCGCCACCATCGATTGTGCGCTGGACGTTACGGTATTCATAGGAAGACCACTGGATGGCGAAAGACTACAGCAATGCTGTAATAAAACCAATCAAAGTACATAGTTTGGGACGACTTGCGACTCGACTTTTTTTGACCCCGGTCCGACAACTCCCCAAAGAAAGGTACCAATTGCTACAATCTTGGTGGTACTCAATGGCCACACATTCCAGGCAGGATAGATCCACTCACCTACTAAAAGGCTTTTGTGATATTAGTGCGACAGTATATTGTTGAGACCATGGAGGGGAATTTAATCACGTACTTGAGGTCGATTGCCTAGTAGTGAACAACTATGGGATAGCGAAAGAAGATAGAAATCTCAATACCGACATTATAGTTGTTGCTTGACGAGGTCGATGTGATAAGCCCGTGGTTAATGAAGCTACCTAAAACGTAGTCTCTGGAATACCAGGAGTGACACACCTGGCAAACCGGCCGAAGATGTAGCATAGAAGATCGCAGACTCGAAAGTCGCTGAGGCCGACTATATTTGAAGATAAAATACTTTGTATGTTTTGAGATCCGAAAGACGACGCGCCGAAGTAAAGCTAGTTGTTATCCTTCTCTACAGACTACCGATAGTAACGACTTACATGGAGAATACCGTCTGCGTAATAGCGGTCCGAAGCCCAGCTATGGAACAGAGATGAGCCGCGTGTTTCTTCCAAAAAACCAGTGACCTTAGCCGTGAGGGTATACACTAAAGATAAAAGATCGCCATCCGGTCCGGCTGGAAAAATATCGTTGCACCACCTGAGCGCAATGCGATAGCAAACGCTATGCCATTGCCCTGTTACGATCTTCCGCAAAGATCTTGGATCTTGGCGGTTGTGTGCTATTATTTTGTTTGGAGGACAGCAGCTTTGGAAGCAAATAGCGTGACAAATATTCCTGTTCTCTTCTACGTCCATCATTGAAAATGAGTAGTAAACAAGGCCAGCTGGACAAGGAAAAGGTGCACTATCAGCTTGCGTACAAATGTATACTCACTGATGACCATTGTCAGGGAAATACATCTTTCAAGGCAGGGGATTATGCGATGGCTGTTGGACATTATTCCTCCGCAATTGTGAACGATCGAAAGGATTACACGCTTCCTTTGAATCGTGCTGCCGCATACCTCAAGTTAGGCAAGTACGTTTCTCGATAGACTGTATGGCAAGTACCCTTCTCATGCGCCCACATAGATACGACGATGCGGAAAGAGATTGCACGACCGTTCTATCTCTGAATATATCCAATGCCAAGGCTCTCTTTCGCAGGTCACAGGCTCGTGTCGGGATGGGAAAGCTGAAGGAGGCCGAAGGCGGTTGGTTTGCTTCACCTTACCCGACAGGATACTCAGCACGAAATATCAGACCTTAGAGCTGCGGCGAAACTGGAACCCTCGAACGTGTCTATTACTCAAGAAATAACCAAGGTTACAGATGCCATAAAACGCTCGATTACCATTTCCAAGGTAATTCGGAAGCTTTAACGGAAGAATAATGTTTTTGATTATTCTCAGACTAAACCCATCGATGTTACACTCAATTCAAAACCAACGCGTCGCAGAATTCCGATCACCATCGTTGAGGATACAGTTGAAAAACCATCAGCATCTGGGATTTCGTCTATGTCTGAAAAGATTGAACCCTTTACGCAACCAGTAGCGACAAAACAAACGGAAATACAGCCGATCCAGGCCTCGAAAGAAGTTAGCCCTGTGCAACGTCTCGTGGGCATCGCTCTAACGGTTGAAACGATAGGAACGCACATCTTCGACTCCCCAAGTGACATACACAGAAGCAAAACGGAGCCGAGACGACGTAAAAACTAGCCGCGTGGGCGGGGGGATTTTCAGAAGCGATGGCCCAAATACGATATTCCCCACGAGAGAAGTGACTGTCCCTAAATCCAATGACGCAAAGGCCGCCACCTATCCCATAACGCAAAATTTTCCAGCGTCCACGGCCCCGAAATCGCCTTCAGTTCCTGTGCCCAAAACATTATATGACCTAACAAAGGCTTGGGATATGCATCCGTCAACTGAGGAGCGGTTCCGAATCATCACAGTAGGTGCAATTTGTTTGATTAATGGTAAAAACTGACCTGCTTCTGAAGAGTGTGCCTCCAGCACAACTACCGGTTCTCTTTCAGGCGTCGCTAGAGCCAAGCTTTCTGGCATCCATCGTTGAAATATTTAGGAGCGCTTCCGACGAAGAAAAGAATGCCTCGATTGTCGTCGAATATCTAGACGCGCTGTCAAAGGTTCCCAGAATTGGTACGATTACACTGTTTCTGAGTGAAGGAGAGCGTACGGTACTACGGAGGTTAGTAGAGAAGGTAGGCGTAGATAAAGTGAATGCAGTATGGCGAAAGGTGTAAATAAATCTGCAGTTTCGGCATTTGCCGGAACACTGTCTGTTTAGGACTACAATGAGTTTCCAGGACATCGAAGCAGGCTACTCCCATCCTGCCACCACCACGACTTCGTCCGTGCCAAAGTCGAGCGAGGATGCTGCATTTCTTTCCCTTCAATCGTCGCTTTCCTTACAAGTATTCAAGATGAACGCCAATGTACAGGGCATCCTCAAGCTCGTGGACCAGCTGGGTACAGCGAAGGATTCTGATACTCTCCGAAAGAGCTTGTCTGTATCTTGCTGCTCTAACTTTTCTTCTTATCTGAGCTCTAGAAATGCAGACATGATTTGACGGAGAGCACCCGAGCAATGGCCAAACGCGGCTCTGAGGACCTCAAGAAACTGGCGGTTCAACAATCGAGTCTCGTGTGTAATAGCATGCTGCAATCTCGTTACATACTCACATCATCTGCCTCAGCCTCATCAGCGCACGTCGCTCCAGAAGACATCCCATGACTTCCAGATGTCGTTGGCCGCATTTCAACGGGCGCAGCAAGTTAGCGCTGAACGTCAGAGGACAGTGGTCGAGGGCGTCAGACTAGCAGTCGAAGACGAACACCAGTGCGAAATGGCCCATTAATACCCTGCAATATCTACTGACCATTCTAAGACACGATGATGAGCAGACCAACTCTCCGGAACAACGCCAAGCTCTGCTACTTCAGAACCAACTATCCCCCCATGAACTTGCATATCAGGAATCTCTAATACAAGAAAGAGAAAATGACATTCGGGAGATTGAGACAGGAATACACGAGTTGTCGGAAATATTCCGCGATTTGGGCACCCTGGTTGAACAGCAGGGTGGATTGCTTGGTTCGTTGTTCGCGCATGCCTTGTCATACATCACTGATTACCGCCTCAGACAATATTGAATCCAACATGTCCTCAATAGCAGTCGACACCTCACGAGCGTCCGAAGAGCTCACCACAGCGGCGCAGTACCAACGTAAAGCTGCACGGAGAGCTGCTTGTCTTATGATTGTGCTTGTCATCGTAGTGGCGATCGTCTTATTAGCTGTAAATACACATCCCTTGGTGGCTAACGGAACTGACTGTTGTTTTTAGATCTTGTCGTAACGTCTCTGGACACATGCGTATGCTTTTCTATACCCGCTATTAATTAGCACCTTGCTCTATGTTATATAATATTATTAGTGGACAGTAAGTTGGGGGGCGGGGGGGCTGAAGGCAACTTCACGAAAGAGCGTGGCCCAGGTGCAATGATAACAGCGCGACATGTCATGACACCCTCCCTATCTATGTCTGTCCCTAGTCTAATCTCTTCGTAGGTTTTATACACAGACACCCTTGTTCTATCGATGATTTTATCCAAGTTTACTCGTATCAAAGCGGTATCAATGTGCGAATCTACTTCGATGACCTCATGAAAATTCGTAGAGGTTGTCTGAAAAGCCAGGCTGCGCTTCTCTGACCCAGCTAGCTTGTCCCCTTGTCATCAAACTCAGGTCGCAATTAGCATAAAATGCTCGGAGCCGCATCAGTCAAGCAGTAGCTGAGTGTATGCATTCAGGGTGGAGATTGACCGATCCACGAGGTTTAGCATTACTGTTTATAAATACTATTGACACGCATTGCTCCAGAATAGACTAGATCCTGAGGTTCTTCCGTTCCTTTGGTCTTTCTACTATATCCTTCCCAAGGAGCTCCACCATCGAGATCCAACGTTACGAGGGCTTGCTACGACAGACTGCCAACCTGACTTTCTACCAAGCACCTCGTCCCTTCAGATCCTCAGCAATGGATCCTTCGGTGAGTCGGCCATTTCTTTTCATGATGAGTGTACTTCAATTCTTCATATAGTTTCCGCCTGTCAACTCCTTTCCTCTCGATTTTACGCCAGAAGCGAGGGAGTGGAATACGTGCCTCAACGCTGCTCAGAATGGGAGCACATAATTTCCTATCCGACTTCAAGAGATATACTGAGCATGTTAGTTGACACCTACTCCTTTGTCAAATTGGATAGATGTCGCATTGCATGTTGGCTCCCTATACCTCCACTGATTTTGTTTTGGATGTAATGGAATGTGGTACGGTTCAGCTCCGGAAGAACTGATATGATACCCTCTTTTGGGGTGAGTGTCATAATGTCGCATTCTTCTTGTCAATATAGAATTTCTTGATTCCAGGAATCAAGCTGATTCAGCACGGACGTACACGTAGCATTGCCCATGTACAATGACCATCCAGTCTTGGATGTGGAGGATTGCAATAGTGCTCAGACCACTATCAAAGTGACAATGGACTGGCTGTCGTCGCACCTTCTGTGCGTAGTCTTTTGCACCCTTCAGTTTGCCGGCTTTGTGATCCCTCTCGCAGCCACCGAATCAGTCAAGCAACTACGTGAATGCCATATCGACAAAGTTACGCCCTGGTTTTAAGTTCCACGGAGTTCCTTGATACGCAGCTGGTTTCTTCAGATTAGGTTTTATTCCACGTACACCAGCGTCGCCCCCTCAAAGCGCCTTTTAATGACTTTAACGAACTTTTACGCAATCCCGACTCCTGCATTACGGTCCCGGAAACGTCAAATCTGATCAATATCATGTTGCACGCGGTCTACGACATTTCATGCTCACCTTTCCAGCCCAGCATCGATACGTTAATGGATGCTGTCCGCCTTTCTCCGAAATACGACTTGCAGGTCAAGTACATCTCATCATCATTGCCGTTGTTTGACGACATTCGCCACCGGATGCCGCTATTAACGTACGTCGTAGCCTCGAGCCATGAGTTTGAGGACCTTGCGATTATCGCATCGGTCCACTTCCTTGCTTTGGATATCTCTACTATGAGCGACGAGATGGTCGAATCCATAAATCCCATATATTTAAGGCGCCTCTTTGATCTTCAGACCAGTCGGGTTAACGCATTCAAACGCCTTCTATCTGTTCCTCCAGAATCACACCTAGCGACACCAGAATGTGATTTTGTAGCTCAGAAATCTCTGACTAGGTCCTGGGCATTTTACGCTGATATGACAGCCGGCACAATCGAAAGTACGTTCCAAACACTTGATAGCGACGTTCCGTGCAGGCTGTGAGAGAAGTGCTTGATGTGACGTTAGCGATGATAGTCAGTAGCGGCACACAAGGACGAATCAAGGACCGGGTTGAAGACACCTCGATTCGGGGGGAAAAGGTAAGAAAGACTGGCGTAATTCTAGGCACGACCAAGTATTTATACGTAGATAAGAGTGGAGTGCATAGATAAGCATAGTTCAAATAAAGTCCGGGTTTATGTTACGAAAAAGGAAGTAGAACGGGCCCGTCCGTTACATACGCCCTCCGATGCCTTGTGATCAAGGCATCCCTTCTAATAACAGCCACGTCGACACCTTCAAGCAACATCCCTATAGTTCAACAAGCTGTCGTCCTCTGGATTATCAACATCCATGTCCTGCCCAACCTCCTTCTGATCCTTGCCCTGGCTGCCGGTCTTCTTCTGGAACTTCAAGCCCGCAAGACCACCAGATGATGATGAGGCCGACAGTGTGCCAGTGGTAGGGGCCACCGATTGGGGCACAAAAGGTTTCGCGGCAGCAGATAACATGGGTTTATCGGTGGTAGACATGCTGGAGGCTGTGGATGTGGATGCGGCGTTTGACATTGGTGCAGGAATGGACAAGGGTTGTGTGGGGATAGTCGACTGGTGAGATGGACCAGGGTGGCTATGTGAGCCAGTCTTCAAGGCTTGGACACCGCGGAAAGGGTGATTGATAGCGCGTATGTCCTTAGCCCTCTGCTTGTCGAGCTTCTTCGTCAAAATCAAGTTCGTTTTTCTCTTCTGAAACTTGGTCTCTCGTTCCCTCCTCCGTCTATTCTCCATTAGCTCCCATTCCCTCAACTCCTCCAGTTCAGCCCTTTCTATAGCTGACAACGGTTCGACCTTTTGCGTGGGGGCAACAGGCAGCAAGTCATTGATCTTGATGGTTTTGTTTGGCACCTTCCAATGGCCAGTCGTCTCGTCGACATAGGGAAAAGCCTTTTTCTCCTGTATGGTGAAGTATGGTTCACGACGAGTAGCCTCGACCAAGTACTCGTAACCAAGAGGCATCGGCTGATCGGTGGGTACATCGCCACCCTTCTTCATCACCATATCGGCTAGGATGCAGCAGCGCAAGACCTGAGAGCGGTCCAAGACGACGTCGTTGCTATTCACAAGGTTCTCAATTGTCAATTGCTGGGGTGTCACCTTCATGGCATCGAAGTCATAAGGTCTAATGTTGATGATGATCTCCGGAGCCATCGCGTGTTTGTGTAGGCTGCGATGAGACAATGAGCACAAATGAGGGGCGTCAGAGTGCTTGGAAGGGAAGTGTGGCGAGATTTCAGGTAAGTCTCGCCATTTATCCTTATCACGCCATCCCAATCTGACTAGATCCGTGGTCAGTGAGCCAATGAACATCTCCACGCCCTTATCTATGTTCTCTATCTGAGACATGGGTAATTGTGATATGGCCTTGACACCCAAGATGTCCAGATAATCTTGGAGCGCAGCTGTGTAACTCTGAGCATCGCTATAGGGCACCCAGGTCTTATCTCCGGATGCCCATTCAACCTCAAAGATGGCGCCTCGTCCTCTTCCTCTGTGAGAGATTATTCCCTTTACCTTCCATTCATTATCGGTCTCGGCAGTGAGGCCAATCTGACTGTGAAGTCTCCC